ATGGCAGCCCCTGGTGAGCCACAGTGGGCTCATCACCACTCTGGGCTATCCCAGTGGGAGCCCAGAGGAGGTGGATGCTGCAGGGTTAGACCTGGTGGTGATGGAGCTGCCTGGGCAGGAGGGATTCATCCAGGGGCTCAAACTGGGAATAAACACGTGGCTTTGCCCTTGCCCAGGGCATCCTCAGCCTCTCATTTGCAGACTCCAGTTCTGAGCACCCTGGGTGCCACTTCAACACTGCCCTGTCCCACACCTCCCTAAATCCCTGTCATTCCTGGTGTTTTCCTCATTTTCATAAGCTTTTTTACCACTCTGAGGGAAAAGTTCTCCATTTACTCATCACTGCTCTAATTCCATTTGCGAGCTGTGGGTGTCAACCAGAGGTGGGCCAGCGAGAGCCGGGACGGATTCCTGGTGGAACGAGCCTGTGTGTTGTGGCTGGGATTGATTTCATGGTGCAGAAGGCACTCAGCAGCAGCCCCTGCCTGTCCTCCTGCCACGCACAGCACTGTGGAAAATGCACTTATTCGCATATTAGACCGATTCTCTGAAGTTCAAACCTTCCAGGTATTTCTGGTCCCTCCCAGTCTTGCCTTGTCTGCTTTCATCCCCTTTCATCCCTCTGCCCCTGCGCCTCCCTGGTTCTGCACTGCTTCCCGTGTTTGTCAGAGGGCAAATAAAGCAGCTGAGGGATGGCCCAGGGCTGGCAGCACTGGGGACTGGGAGAGTTTTCCTGGTGACTGCGCTGTGCCAGCCTGACCTTTGCAGGGAGCAGCCCAGGACTGCTGCACGTGGCTTTCCCTGTGCCACAGGCTCGGCACAGCCAGGAAAGGGGCCCATCCCCGTGTCTGGATCACTGCTCTGTGCCCAGAAAGCCTCGAGCATCACGGCATGGCAGGAGGGGCCTCTGTGGGATGGGCAGTGCTGGTGGTGGGACAGGGCTCGGGGGGTCAGGGCAGCGCTGCTCTGGGAATCTGTCGGTGCCTCTGCCTCTTCCTCAGACCCTGACGGATCCCTGTGGCTGGTGGCTGAGTCTTTCACCCTGAACCGAGCTGACAGCTTCCAAAACTCGTGTTGATGGATGATCTCATCAAGCAGGGCTGCACTGCAGGGGCAGGAGGGGAGCAATATGTCTTATTGCCTCCACTGGGGGCTTTGCTGGCAGCATGAGGATGGCTCATTCCCTCTTCCCCAAAGCCAGGGAAGAAGCAGGTGTGTTCACCACTGCAACATGGCCTGGGAGCTCCCTGAGGCACTGGGAGCAGATGCCAGACAGAGATTGGGGTGCTCCTTGCTGGTGCTGATCCTGCTGCCGCCCAGAGCAATGACCCATTTCCAGCTCTCATGCCCAGAAGGAGCCAGTGAGATGACCCAAAGCAGCCAAGGGAGTCACAGGGCTGGAGATGTGCCTGCAGCCAGGGAAGACACCTCAGTGTGCTGGAGAGCCATTTCCATGCTCACCCCTCATTGTTAGTTCATCCCCACGTGCTCGCAGCGTGGATATCCAAGGGGGGATGATCCAGCACAGGAGCAGGAGGGATCTAGATTTTTCTTTGGGGGATCATGCTTATTTTCTTGACATGCTTCTGTCAAGGAATTCTGTACAGTGGTGAAGAGGATGAACAGACTCTCCCCAGGGGTGCCTGGGTGCAGTTTTGGCAGGGGATCAGGGTCTGAGCAGAGATGGACTCTGCCCTTCAGCACTGCTGAAGATGCTGGGGTGCTCTGGGGCTCATGGCCCAGGGGAACACAATTTGGTTTCCCCAAGTTTGTTTGCTCTCGAAGTGAGCAGCTAAAGGGAGAGGGAGAGCTTTAGCAGGGGAAGGTTCCTGGCTGTATTAGAGGGAAGATTTGCAGTGCTGGCCCCAGGATCAAGGACTGCATTAGTATTGACCTCAGGTATGGTGAGATTTCCTAACTCAGCACAAGGCTGTGCTCGACTCTAAACCTCACAGAGGGCTGGGTAGCGATAGCTCCTGCCTTGCAGGAGTGTTTGGGGTCTTGATTCATCACTGTCTCCTCAGCACCCCCATTCCCAGAGGGGAAGGATGCTCTGGCAGTGCAACCCACAGCCCTGGCTGCTGCTCGTGCATCAGGCACCAAGGTGGCACTGAAACCAAACGTTGTGCTGAGCAGGATCGCAGCTCCAGGCTCGGGGGGGAGGGAGATGATGGAGGAAAGCTGGGGAATAAAGCTCCCCTATCCCCTCATCCTTCTGCTGCAGCTCTGCCCTGGCAAAACGGAAGGACCTCATGCTGGGCTTCAGGCAGAAAGAGCAGGTGATGGTTGTAAAGTCTCGTGTTGCTTGCAGGAATGAGTTATCCCAGGAAAAATGCAGGTTTTTCTCCCCCTGTGGGCTCCTGAAGCTTTGATATGCTCCTCCTGCAAGTGAGAGAGCCAAAGGGAACATGGAATCGGCACCATCTTCCCCCCGGAGTTCTTCTTCAGGCTTCACTTGGCGTCATAATGATCCAATCAATCCCAGGAGGCTCCAAATAATTATTAATTAAGGCAATGATTGGGTGATTTGGCCGTCATTGCAGCTGTCTTTCACGGGGAGAGAGAAAAGCCTGTTCCTTTCTTATTTTTCCCTAAAGCCTGACTCTGATGGCACGCGGCTGCTCTGCAGAACACAATGTAATAGCAGGGTGAGTCACAGCCAAGGATTTGTATTCAATATCGGTTCGGATTACATTAGCTTTGCCTAATGCCTGAGCAATAAAGTGCCTCTTCATTGTATAGCTGCAGTTTATTTCGGTTCCTGGGCTGGTACAGAGCAAACATCCATCATGCAGCAACACGTGTGCCCTGCGCCGGGAGCGGCCTGGGGGATGCCGGCTCTGCCTCTCCTCCTGCTCCTGCCAGGAGCTCCTGTTCTCATGGAATCCTGGAGCTCTTTGGGTTGGAAGGGGCTTTAAAGCCCATCTTGTCCCACCCCCTGCCGTGGACAGAGGCGTTTTCCACTAGAGCACGTCGCTGCAGCCTGGCCTTGGACATTTCCAGGGATGGGGAATCATCCATTTGTTCAGCCATGAAACCTGCCCAGCTGTCACACCAGAGCCCGGCTGAGCACGGTGGCCTGTTCTGCCCCACGGGGTGCTGTGCTGGGTGCTTCACTCCAGGAGCAGATCCCTGAATCCCCCGGAGCAGAGCACAGGTCCAGCACAGCATTCCAGCCCCAGTGTCCGGGCTGCAGCCTCTGGGCGCTGGCTCTGGCTGGGATGTGGAGCCACCAGCGTGGATCTGGCAGCTCCCTGGGCTGCTGCCATCCCCACTGCTGCTCTCACCCCTCCGCCAGCCTCTCCTCGCTGCCTTCCCCACTCGTGCCGTTCCCCCTGTGCCGGAGAGGAGGAGAGGATGCAGAAAAGCAGCGAAGGCTGCAGGAGCACGGCCCGGGCTGCAGCAAAGGTTCCTGCGCTGGGCTCCAGCAGCTCCGCGCCTCCGGCACAGCCTGGAGCAAGGGCGAGGGGACAGCCAGGATCGCTTTTGCTGCTTTGCACAGCTCTGGGGAAACGGAGCGTTTTTCCTTGGCTGCCCTAACGGGACCCAGCGATGATTCACGTGGGCAGCGGTGAGTAAGAGTCTTATCTTTATTTACTCGATGGTTTCGCTGTGGAAGACCTCGCAGGAGGAGGGGCAGGTCCACAAGGAGCCTCCGTGAGCGCTTCCAGCCTGGCTCTGCCGGGAGGAGGGCTGAGCACGCCGATGATTTATGAACTCTCCCGTGCAGGGCAGAGGGCTCTTTCTGCCTTGCTGGGCTTGTTGGAGGAGGGAACCGGCCCTCGATCAGAGAAGCTGCCAGAGGTTTCTTCTATTGCTGAGAAAATAGAATATTTATATTAGAACAGAATAGAACAGAACAGAACAGAATAGAACAGAACAGAACAGAACAGAACAGAACAGAACAGACTAGAACAGAATGGAATGGAATGGAATGGAATGGAATGGAATAGAATGGAATGGAATGGAATGGAATGGAATGGAATGGAATGGAATGGAATGGAATAGAATAGAATAGAATAGAATAGAATAGAATAGAATAGAATAGAATAGAATAGAATAGAATAGAATAGAATAGAATAGAATAGAATAGAATATTCCCACATCTCCTCCTGCCGTGTCGCGGGGTCCCTTCGTGTTTGTCACCCGGCCAGGGAGAGGGGCCGCAAGGAGGAATCTGTGAATTCCCCCTGAGCTCCCTGCCGTGTCCCCAGAGGGGACAGCTCAAAAAGCCACCAGCAGCCAGGGAGCCAGAGCCAGCTGGTGACACAAAGCCCCACGCAATGTGGGAATGAAGGGAGCTGTGCTGGGGGAGAGGAATGCCCCTGGGATGGGGTCCTTAGGGCTGAGTGATGCCACCACCATGGATTAGTGGCACCGCCCGCGGCGCTCGCAGTGTCCCCGGTGTCCCCTGCTCCAGGGGCAGAGCTGTCCTGTTCCCGCTGGAGCCATCGTTAGAGGTGACATCTGATTGCTGAGAACAGCTCAGAATGGCAGCCCGTGACTGCCAGCAGGGCTGGGGCAGTGCCAAGGCTGGGCCAGTGCCAGCCCTGGCTCCGCAGCCAGCCCTGGAGCGTGCCCGGCCCAGGATGGGGCTGCTCGGAACACCCACCTGCAGGGCACCTCCAGCACCCTCGGCTTTCCCACCTGCATTCCCAGGAGCCAACAGCTCTCCCGTGGCCTCTTTGGGACCCTTTGCTGCTGGATAACCCCTTCTTTTCTTGGCCACCCCTCACACTCCAGGATGTGCCGGTGGCGTGGCTGTGGCAGCAGCTGAGGGAGAGCCACGAGGGCTGAGCAGGGCAGGGAATTCCCTCAGTGCTTCCCAGGCTGCTGGGATGGGAACGGGGATCCCTGAGCCCTGATCTTCCCACAAAGCCAGCCCTGCTTCCACTGAGGGGTTTAATCCATGGGGCTGATGCTAAACGTGTCAGTGCTGGCAGCAGCCAATGGCTCCATGCTGAGGGTGGCTCTCTGGGACTGAGAAACAGTTCCCATCCCACAAAGTTTGGGTAAAAAGCTCTGTTTTCTGGGACTGCTGGCGAGACAGTGTCCTACGGGAGCGGGGGAATCTGGATTCCTCGGTAAATCTACTGCCATCCAAGAAAAAAACACATTTTAATCAAATCCAAGGCAGTGCTGCGATCTAGACACAGGGAATATAGGCCATGCTCACAAACTGGGAGGCTGCGTCCCAGAAAACATCAAATGTGAAAATAATTTAGAGGCTGGAGGAGCAAAAGCGGCTCCACAGGCATTCCTAGGGCTCTGACACCTTCCAAGGCTGGAGGCAGTGGCCCCAGCACAGCCCTGGTGAGCTTTAGGGGGTTGCCTGATGCACCTGTGGGACCCAGGGGAATGTTCCATGCAGGGCTGGGAAATGTGGCTCATTAAAGAGGGGTTTGGCAAAGAGGAGAGGGTGAATAAAAGAGGGAGGAAAATTCTTTGAGGACTGAAAAAACACCAATGAAAGGCGAGGAGGGAGTGAGGTCCCTGGGGTTTAGCCAAAGGAGGATCCAGAGGTGCCTTGAATTCGCTCTGCAAAAATGTTCCTGGGATACAGCAAGCTCTGAAAGGGCCTTTTAATCCAGCAGGGAAAGCACAAGAGAGCCAACAACTGGAGCTGGAGCCAGACACATTTAAATTAGAACAAAAGACACATTTCTAATAGTGAGGTAATTAACCACTGGAACAAATTATCAAGGGGAAGTGGTGCTTTCTCAGTCTCTTGAAGTTTTCAAATTATGTTGGGATGTTTTTTTCCCTGAGAAAAAGCTTCACTTCAGCAAAAAACAACTGGAGGAATTTACTGCCTGTGCTCGAATGTCAGCCCAGACCCTGCAGAACACTCTGGCCTCAAAATCAGCTTTTTGGTAAAACTGGTGGAATTTTTAAGGCAAACCCAGGTTCAAGTAATTTCCCTGGAATGGGAAGAAGAGACGTTTCCCAGCATAATCCTGTTCTCAGTGAAGCCAGGACTGCTGGTCCTGCCACAAGCCCTGCCCTTACACTTCTCACCCTTGGGGCAATTCCTGGTAAGTGGTGTGAGTGCAAAATTTGGAATTTGGGGAATGGTCTGGTTGCATCCCCAGGGTCCTGCTTTGGGTCATGGGGCTGCAACTCCCTGGTGCAAAACCACCCTGGAAGCAGAGCCCTGTCTGGGCAGGGGCTCTCCTTATAGGACATTATAAACATGTGCACAGATACATTTATTTATATTTGTCTATTTACATTTCTGTGGCACATTGACAGGCTTCCAGCAGCAGCACTGTTGCAGTGGCCATGCCTGGGGTGAGGTTGTCCCTGTGTGTTTGGTGTCAGACAGTTTGGCCCTTCCTGTGAGCTGGGGCTGAGCTGGGAAATCAATCACAGCTGCTCCACAGAGCTCTGGTCCTGTAATTACTCCGTGATTAAATAAAAACGTAATTCCTTCAACACCTCCGCACTTCTGCTTTATTGCAGGAGAGCCCACACAAGGAATTAATGTTTAAATAATGGCTTTCCTCCCCAGGAGCAGGCTCTGAGATAGGCAGGAATACATTAACTCTCTGTCCCACGGATGGAAGGAGCAGCACCTTGCTGGGGGCCACAGAGGCGCCAGTGCAGCATCCACTGGGATTTTCCCGGTGGTTTCTGTCTCCATGTCTTCTGGCCACACCCCAGGCTTCCCTCGGGCACAGCCTGTGGATGCAGCCCCCCAAATCCCCACCCCAGCTGGCACCAGGAGCCTTCCTTGGCGTGGTGCCAAGGCCTGGAAACTGCCCAGAAATTCCTGCAGTTGGGATGGAAGTTTGGTGCCTGGAGGAGTGCAGAGCATTCCCGCTGCTGGATTCTGAGCTGATTTCTGAGCTGTCCATCTTTTCCTATCGGCAGATGCCAGCGGGGACGTCAGTGCCTGCTGAAGAATTGTCTCTCCCTGCAAAGGGCGACGCGGTTTCAACCTCTTTATTAAACCAGGCACAATCCTGTGCGCCAGCAGAGATGAAGAAAAGCTCCTGATAAGTGGGACTGGCCATTCCCTGAGTTTCCAGTCTCCTTGGTTACAGTACGCCACACAAATGCTTTTCTCAGAGAGCAGGCTGAGCTGAGAGTTTGAATCCCAGACTGGAGAGGTTCCCCATCTCCCTGCCTCATACCTGGTGCTGCTGAGAGGATGCTCAGCACAGGAGGGGGTGGGGAAGGGGCTCCTGCTGGTTTTGCAGAGGTGTCTGAGCGATGCAGTCTGAGCAGACCCAATGGGCTCTGTGCAATCCCAAACCCCAAGGCCGGGACAAGCTGCCCCCAGCTATAAAATGATGGAGGATGTGCTGCCTGTTGTAACTGGTGTGAGGATGTGGGGACCAGTGTGGGGCTCCGAGAGCCTCAGTCATCACCCAGTCCTGATCCCACACCCAGAGTCAGGAGGGTGCTGGTCCTATACCCAGTGTCAGGAGGGTGCTGGTCCTATACCCAGTGTCAGGAGGGTCCTGATCTCATACCCAGTGTCAAGAGGGTGCTGATCCCACACCCAGTGTCAGGAGGGTGCTGATCCCACACCCAGAGTCAGGAGGATGCTGGTCCCACACCCAGTGTCAGGAGGATGCTGGTCCCACACCCAGTGTCAGGAGGATGCTGGTCTCACACCCAGTGTCAGGAGGATGCTGGTCCCACACCCAGTGTCAGGAGGATGCTGGTCTCACACCCAGTGTCAGGAGGGTGCTGGTCCTATACCCAGTGTCAGGAGGGTGCTGGTCTCACAC